TCCTGGACATGTAAACTCAAAAATGACACAAGAACAAAGAGATTTGACTCAAGAATAAGCAAAGAAATAAGCCCAGGATCTAATTAATGGCTTTGCCAATGAATTCTATCAAATAGGAGAATTAACACTAGTCCCATACTTTCCCATTTCCTAAGCTGTCCTACAGGTCAGAGTTCCCAACATTAAAGCAACCAAAAAATAGTATAAGAACTGGAGACCATACAGCAACATCCCTTTTGAACACACATTCAAAAATCCTTAATAAAAGCCCAGAAATTTGGAGGCAGAGGCATGTGGACCTCTGTAATTTCTAGGCCAACCTGATCTACACAGCAAGTTCCAGGCCAGCCAGAGCTACATAGTGAAAGCTTGTCTAAACAAAATTAATTAATTTTAAAAAATCTTTAACAAGAGATGGGAAATGGCTCAGTTAGTAAAGTGCTTGCCATACACACATGAGGAATTGTTTGTATCTCCAGCACCCACACAAAAAGCCAAGCATGGTGTTATATGCCTATAATCTTAGCACTGGGAAAGCAGAGACAAGAAAAGAGTTAGCCAACTACTCTGTCCAATCAGTGAACACCAGGCTTAGTGAGAGACCTTGTGTCAAAAAATAAGGTAGAGAATGACACTGGACATCTAGCCTCCACATATACATAAACATGCATATACCACACAAACATACACACACACACATACATACATACACATGCATATACCACACACATATACACACACATACATACACATGCATATACCACACACACATACATACACACACACATATACACACGCACATACATACACATGCATATACCACACACATACACATGCATTTACCACACACATATATACACACACATACATACACACACATACATACACACACACATACACATATACACACACATACACACACACACATACACATATACACACACACATACACACACATACATACACACACACACACACACACACACACACACATACACACCCTTAACAAGATACCAGCAAACTGAATCCAGCAGTCTACTAGAAAGATTATACAGTATGGCTTAATGAGACTTGCCCAAATAATGTAAAAATGGTTCAACAATGAATATCAGTATAATACATAATCTAACATAGTGAAGGGGAAAAACCAATTTCTCAAATTGATGCCAAAAAATGAAACAAAACAAAAATCACTTGACAAAATCCATTCCTCCTACCCCTTTGGTGATTAAAAATAGACTACGTGATAAACTAGCAATACAAAAGGACTTCCTCAGTAAACCCCATAGCTAGAATCATACTCAGCGGTGGAAGACTGCAAGCTTCCCCTAGAAAGTCAGGGTAAAGACAAGGATGTCCACTTTTACTACTTCAGCGCTTTATTAGAAATTTTAACCAGCACAATTTTAAACAAGAAAAAGAAAAGTTTCAAATCAGAAGGTAGGCATGGTGGCACATGCCTATAAGCACAGTACCCAGGATACTTAGCAAAAAGATCATGAGTTTAAGGCCACCCTAGGCAACATAGTGAGTTCTAAGCCACTAGCCTGAGCTATAAGACACAGGTTCGTGTGTGCACACATACATGTACACACACACACAGAGGCACACACGCACACATATACAAAGTCCAAATCAGAAGGAAGACTACCTCTAGCTCTGTTAATACATAACACTACCTTTAAAAAGAAAAAAACTATTAGTGCTAATAAATAAGTTAAATAAAACTGTAAGATCTACAGTCTCAACAGTAAGAAAAAAAAAGTAGTAGGAAATTAAGGAAACAATTTATTTGGCTGAGACTGTATATCAATGGCTAAGAATTGGCCTGTATATGCAACACAGATGGACAGAAAACATAACAAAAAGCTATAATAGCCAAAAACATGGTACTGGCATAAGAACAGCCACAGAGACCAATGGAGCAAAAGTGAACTCGTGCATCTGTGATTAGTTGATTCTTCACAAGAGTGTCAGGACAAGTCTCTGGAGAAAAAAGTCTCTTAAGAAAGCTGTTGATGCCAGCTATGGGGGCCTACGGCTTCAATCTCAGCACCTGGGAGGCAGAGGCAGGTAGATCTCTGAGTTTAAGACCAGTCTAGTCTACAGAGTGAGTTCCAGGACAGCCACGGCTACACAGAGAAACCCTGTCTTAAAAAAAAACTACAGAGATAAAGAGAGATGGAGATGGAGATGGAGATGGAGATGGAGAGAGAGAGAGAGAGAGAGAGAGAGAGAGAGAGAGAGAGAGAGAGAGAGACTGAGACTGAAGAGATTGACTGCTCTTCCAGAAGACCAAAGTTCAATTCTCAGCATCTAGGTGGCGGCTCACAACTGTCTGTAATTCCAGTCTCCAAGAATATGACACCCTCTTCTGGCCTTCATGGGCACCAGACACATTCATGTGGTGAACAGACATATACACAGGCAGAATATATCCATAAACATTTTTTTAAAAGAGAGAGAGAGAGAGAGAGAGAGAGAGAGAGAGAGAGAGAGAGAGAGAGAAATGCTGAATGCTGTTGAAATGAGAAAACATCTACAGATTTTTCAAAACAGATGTTTAGTCTCCTACTTCCTAACATTTATAAAAATTAACTCAAAATTGATTAAAGACTAAATATAAGACTAAAAGAATAAAAATCTCTAAACAAAAGAGTAATTTCTTTACTCCCTTGATCTAGCAATGGTTGTTTTAGATACTGACATCAAAAGGCATGCCATGAAGAAAAACTAAACTGGATTTCATCAGCTGTAAACTTTTGTGCACCAAAAGTAACTACCACAAAAGAATAAAAAGGTAACCCCCCAAAATGTGAGAAAATGTATGTAAATTATACATCTGTGGTAGTATAGTGTTTTAAGGTGTGTTTCATTCGTTTAACTCGGTGAAGCTGTGTTACTTTACCTGTCTAAAACACCTGATGGTTTAATAAGGAGCTGAATGGTCAATAGTGAGGCAGGAGAAAGGATAGGTGGGGCTGGCAGGCAGAGAGAATATAAATAGAAGGAGAAATCTGGGATCAAAGAAGTATCAGCCAGAGAAGGAGGAGGACTCCAGAGGCCAGTCACCAGTCACCCAGCTATACAGCAAGCCACAGAGTAAGGGTAAGATTTACAGACGTAAGAGAACAGGAAAAGCCTAGCGGTAAAATGTAGATGGGATAATTTAAAGTTAAGAAAATCTGGCAAGAAACAAGCTAAGCCAAGGCTGAGCATTTATAACTAAGAATAAGCCTCTGTGTGTGATTTATTTGGAAGCTGGCTGGTGGGCCCCCCAAAAGAGTCAAAGAACAAAATCAGACAACAATATATGTGGGAATTCGTTCTGCCAATGGCTTTGGGGGTACAAACTGTTCAGGACAGTTCCAAGGTGGCTGAGATGGTCCACCATCTTATACCTCTAGTACATGTGAAATCCATGAGAGTATGTTTAAGGGGTATCAGGGATTTATTAAGACATGAAATGGAGAAATACACTCATGAATATGGTAAAATCCAGTTGCAGAGTCCTTGGAAAGCTGGGGACCAATCACACGCTGCTTCACACCACCTGACCCGGTCTTCACCACCCAAGAGAGCACACCACTCGACTCCCTCAGCTTTTAAGGGGTCACATCCACAAACAGAAAACCATGCCCTAGCATTTGTACCCCCAAAGTCACTGGCAGAGCAAATTCCCACAACAAACATACATCTAATAATGCTTTGGTATGCCACGTATGTATACTACTCCTAGAGTTCAGCAATGAAAAGACAACTCAAGTAAACAATGAGCAAAGAGTTGAACAGATACTTCTCCAAAGAGACACATAGCCAGAAAGTACATAGAAGGTTCAACATCATTAACCATTTGGAAATACAAACAAAACCACAATGAGATACTTCACACTCACAAGAATGGTTATAATAGTAATTACATAAGAAAATAACAAGTGACAGTATATAAATAAACTGGAACCACTGGAAAGTATAAAATAGTATAATTAGTGAGATTAACAGTTTGGCAGTTCCTCAAGATGATTAATATAGAACTATATAAGGCATATGCTCAATAGATTTAAAAAACAATGTTCATATACTCAAAAAAATTGAAAAATCAGTGTTCAAACAAAAGCTTATACAAAATATTTGTATGGGCACCACTGATAAGAATTTCCAAGTGGAAAAATCTAAATGCCTATCAACTGATAAAATGGATACAACTGAATTATTCTCTAATAAGGAATGAAGCATTGGTATGTTATAATAGATGAATATTAATAAAACTGTGGTTAAGGAACTAAATCAGTTACATCAGTACATACTATGGTTGCATTGATACTAAATGTCCAGAACTGACAAATCTGTAGACATAAACTACATCAATGATTGCCCTGGACCAGAGGTAACTCATACACTTAAGAGAATGCCATACATCCAAGATCAATGCACTACCAGATTTGGTATCTGATAAAGGCTGATTCCTGGTTCCCTGAGGTTATTTTCCCTTCATCCTCACACAGGAGAAGGGTAAGGGTTATTTGGGGCCTCTCCTATAAAGCACTAATCCCATTCTCATTCATGAGTCTCCACCCCCTTGACGCCATCACCTCTCAAAGGCCATACCTTCTAAAGCCTACACATGAATTAGGTCCAACTACAAATTGGGAGTGGACATAAACACTGAGACAGCAATAAATCCTTACCAAAGAATGAGAAACTGGCTGGATGGGAGGCAGAAGCAGGCAGATCTCTTTGGGTTCAAGGTCAGCCTGGTTTACACACTGATTCCATGCCAGCCAGGATTATGCAGTCAGATCCTATTGAGAGAGAGAGAGAGAGAGAGAGAGAGAAACTGATGTCCACTTGGTTCTCAGTAGACAGCAACCTAATCACCAGACCTGAAGATTATCAGAATGCTTTTCTTCACCAGGATACTTTTCTCCAGACTGGAACAATATGAAACCATTTAAGTTTATAGGTTGATAAGAAACCATAATTATAATTTAGTATGTTACCTCCTCTGGGAGAATGAGAGTCATGGCCTCCAATGACTACAGAGATGCCAGAATCTTCCAGTTTCCCCTTCCATTTTTCAATGATGATCCTAGACTTGTCCTATAAGTGTGACACTGCAGGTCAGGAAACTTCCCTTTAATGTGATTTGTAAAGCATTAGGTCACCCAACAACTGGCCCATAAATACCTTGCTGGCATCATTAAAAACAGAGAGCTCCATGGTGCCTTCAAAGTCTTGCTGTAAAACAGACGCCAAGCACTCATCCAACCACTGTTCGGCATTGTGCACTGGGAGGATAATGGACTAGAATTCAGAGAGATGGGTTAATAAACAGCCACAGGGAACTGCACTCCCTTCAGCATCCATGAGATGGTTACCCCAAAAGACAAGGGTCTGGCCTGCAGAAGGCCTAGAACCAGGCCTCATGGTAAGGCATGCCCAACAAACCAAAGATACCTGTTTCTCCTCTCTAAGCTCCTGACAATCATTTGACCCATAAGACTTAATAGCTGTTAGGTTCCCCTCAAGTTCTTGATGCTTTTAAAAAGTTATTTCATCACTCGGGAGGCTGAGCCAGGAGGATCTCTGTGAGTTCGAGGCCAGCCTGGGCTACCAAGTGAGTTCCAGGAAAGGCGCAAAGCTACACAGAGAAACCCTGTCTTGAAAAACCAAAAAAAAAAAAGTTATTTCATTTATTCATCTGTTATCGTATGTGTACGCATGACAATGGGAAAGGTGGAAAGTGTCTTTACCCATCAATCTATCTATCTCCATTCCCCCCTAGATACTTCTGAAAGGAGAAAAAACCTGAAGAGCATCAAAATGCCTTTCCAGCTCAGTGATAAATTCATGATTTTAATCCCTAGGCAAAAGCATCATCATTCTGATTAAACATCTTTCCCCTGCTCATGAGAACCAGCCCTGGACTAGACAGCAAACCCACCCTTAGAAAAACTCCAACAGAGTGACCCCCTTCATATTTCTGAACAGCTAATCAAACAGCCAAGCTGGACCAAGAGGGCATGTAGAGGCCCTTAATCTTTGTTCTATACTTGAATTCAGGAACCAGCACTTTTCCTCAGGGAGTATCATAAAGTCAAAAGTTTCTAAAGTGGTATGAAATAAAAATCACTAAAACTTGATGACCAAAAGAAGAGTTGTCATAGGAACTGCCTTAATTTTATATAATACAGTAAGCAATAAAGAATAGCCATAGAAATTAACAGTCAGTGTCACCCTTGAGTTAATATGCAAAAACAAAAATGGACAAGTTTCTGAGAAGGGAAACCAATAGGTTAGGTAGGTGTGAATATATACATACATATATGCACATGTTGTATAGCTATAAGTAACACAGACAATAGCTACATAATTTCTACAGATATGGCCTACATACAATATAGACAACATCTATACAGATAACTATAGATAACATCTACACATAATTACATTTTAAAATTACTGAATCTGAACATAGTTATAAAAAACTTACAAATGAATAGAAGACAAAATTTACCAAGTTCTTTACAAATGAAATGCTCTTTGAGGAGCTGGTGTTCCAAAAGTGGCATTTCATCCTGTTTGTGTTTGTTCTGAAAACAAATGCTTAAAGACTTTTTATTTATTATTTGAGCTTCTGGGGATTGAACCCAGGGCCTTACATGTGCATGTCAGAGTTATACCTGAGTCCTCTGGACTTGCTTTGTAAAGAAAAAGAACATTTCACTTTTTTCAAGACCTACAAGATTAATAGTCAAGAAGGATGTGGTGACTCATTTGTTATCAGTAAGTGTGATGTGGAGGCCAGGTTATTTCAAAGTCATCCTCAGCTACATGTGTTGCAGGACAGCCAGAGCTACAGTAGACTTTAATAATAAAAAGAAGGGTTATAATGTGAATTTTTTTTACAACGTTAGGCCTTGATTTACCTATTCCTAATTTCAGTAAGATTGGCATGAAAAATACAACCCACTTGACGCTGAGCCTGTGAACCACACCTACAATGTGTCCTGCCTCCTGACTTCTAATCCGCTAGCTCGGTTATGTGGGATAGGTGTGGCATGCTGGGGAGGCGATCGGGGCTAAGGGAGTGGGGGTGGGGGTGACAGTGTACTGGGCAAGTAGGTGTGTAGGTTAGTGTACGGTAGGAGCTCCGACAGGACCGCCATCTGTACACATATACAGGAAAGGGTGGGAGCCCTCCAAGCTGAGGTTCCTGAACCCGTGGCAGCGTTCCGGAAAGACCCTAGCGGCTGCAGGCCTAGAAAAGGATAATTACTGGGTCCGGAGGGAGGAAAAATCTACAGAAGGGACGAGGGAGCGGGGCCGTGTCTCACCCCGCCATACCTACCACTAAGGCCAGCGGGCTGTGCCCAGTGGCGTCCTTGCGGAGCTGCATGGCATGGCTCCACCGCCCTTCTTCCGCACGAGCGTCCTGCTTAGGCAGCCAAGGTTTGCACAGCAAGCACCGGGAGGCGGTGCAGAGACTGGACCACTTCTGATTGGCGCAGTGCCACGTGGATCGCTAGGAACTAGCCACTTGCGGGTTTCGGGCTGTGCAGGGCCAGAAAATTCCTACGTTCTATTGGTGCAGAGACACGTCAGTCAGGAAGAAAAGGCGGTGCTCTGAGCAGAGTGTAAAGCGAGGCGGCCTGGACTCGTGAGCTCGCCGGACAAGCTGCCAGCCACAGCCTGAGCAGCTAAGGCGGGTCTTGGGTCTGGAGGTGGCCGCAGTCCACACTGAGTGTAGGCGGGGCCGGACCGAGCAAAGGGTCTGTGAGCTCTCTTGGCTTTCTGCCCTTCTCATAGTACTCTCCGATCTTGGCGGCTTCTTGGCTTGCGGAAGTCGTCTTGCCCCACCTGATGGAAATAATCGCAAACTGAAGTCGACAGTCAAACGAATGTTAAAAAAATACTTTAGAAACAGGGACCTTTGTGAGAAGCGCCACCCTGTGCGGGTAGGTGATGACTTAAAAATGTAAACCCGACCACCCCAGGTTGAGTCTATATAACTTTATAAGGAAAATGGCAGTAAGTTTAAAACAAATAGGCGACATTTCATCTGAACTGTGTTTGGTCCGACTGAGCCGGACAAGGAAGAAGGACCACACCCTGAAGGAAGCTCGCTGGACTAGGCTGGGCTGTGTCTGGAGTGGACCAGCAGTAGATAGTTTGTATGGACCCAAGCACTCATGAGTGTGGCCTGCATTCGGAGGGCGCGAAGCTCAGTCAAAGCCAGATGACTGAGTTTCTATGCTGCACAGAAATTCACTGGCCCAAGGTGTCCTGGAGGTTGATGAGGGAAGGAAGTGTTCTATGAGAGTCCCACACTGTGGGAGTCCCACAGTGCCAAAAGGTCTCAGGAAATCACTCTGAAAAGGACAGGTGACAATCTCTGGACTGCATGAAAGTAACACGCTGGCGGGAGGATGGGAACCCAGATAGAGAGGAGGGTCCTCAGAGAAAACACTGATTACTTATGTAGATAACCCATGTGCATTTCTTTTCCAAACAGTGCTTTTCTGACTTATGCTTGTGCCTGTAGTTTCTCTGAATGGTCATCCCACAACTAGAAGTGTATTTTAAGATGACATATTTTGGTCCTCCACACCCTCCATTTCTGAGGGGTGACACTGAGGTCACCCACTGGCCTTGGCACCAAGCAGCCCTCAAGAGTTTCCACACTTAAAAATAGCAGGAGAAGGGATGGAAGAGATGTCTCAGCGGATAGAGACACTTGCTGCCAAGCCTTAAAACCAACTTTGAGCCCTGGGACCCACATGGTGTCAAGGAGAGAACCTACACCTACGAGTTATTTCCTCATCTCCAAACATATAGGCAGTGGCTCACTCACCCACACCCCCAACACACATGCAGAACAACTAAAGAAAATGTATTTAAAAATAACAAACGATCTCAGCAAAGCTTTAGGGAACTGCAGTGCTTTTTGAAAATTTGGTTTTAGATTTATTACTTTATGTATTTGAGTGTTTTGCCTGCATGTATATGTGTCTACCACATGCCTATCTAGTGTCCATGAAGGTCAGAAGAGTGTGTCAGATCCCCTGAGGCTGGAATTACAGACAGTTGTGAGCCACCAAGTTGGTGGTAGGTATCAAAATCATGTCTCTGCAAGATTAACAAATGCTCTTAATTGCCGAGCCAACTCTCCAGCTAAGGACTGTAATGCTTATGCATTGGAATACTTTCCTGTTTTTCTTTGAAGGAAAGAATCTACAGGGTCCCTGGTAGTTCAGCAAAGGAACCTAGTACCCTTAGCAATCTATCAGCTTGATCTTAGGAAAAGCAGTGGCACCCAACCTCTTTCTACAGCCTGTTCTAGGCATCTCCAAACCTTTTCTTGCCTGTATAAACAGGGTGTTCCCATTCTATCATTAAGCTAGAATAGGGCTATGATAGAACCTCTACAGGTCACTGTGAGAGCTCCCTAACTTACCCCACATAGGAAAGGTGAGCAGGTGACAAGAACTTCAAGAGCTCTGAAAATTAAGTGTGCTTTGGCTAGCACTATGCTTCCCCTCTAACCTAGACTAACCCATTCAGGTTACTACTCTTAAGTGCTCTAAACTGAGATATATGGGCACATCTGTGAGCACCGCTTTCGCATAAAAAATGTTTTCTTTTAAAAACTAAGATCAAATGCAAAATATCTGTAACTTCTTACAAAGCAAAGCACGATGTCACATACAATATTTTTACTGAAATTGCATCTTGTCTGGAAAGCCAATGAAAAGTATAAAGCATTAGATGAGATGAATAGAAATACAACCTTATCTTTAAGTCTGACCAAAGCAATCTGAGAATTTGTTTTTAAAGACCTAATGGTCTCTCAGAATTAATGTGTGGGGAATACTTTCATTTTAAATGACTTAGCAGTAAGTAGCATTTGAATTCCCAGAAGGGGCTGGAGATAAGGAGTCAAAGATAAGGAGGTACATGCAGTTTCTGCACCTTTGTAGCACATGGTGTTTTAAATAGGCTGGAGCTGCTTCTATTTCAGTGAGGGGGCTCCAGCTGACCTGAGCATGACAGACACAGCTCTGGCAGGCTTGCCCTCTCAACACTCCCTCTTCCTTGCTAAAAACCATTAGATTACATTCCTGAAGCTTGCCACCAGGTCTATTCCCTTATTTGGCCACTTCCTGCTACTGAGGCTGACTACCAAGATCCAGCAGTCACAGTACTGAAGTCCCGCAGTCAAAAGCTCCCTTTTGATTGCCCTAATTAACATGCCCAATCCAAAACAAACAAACAACATCATCCTAACATGGCGTTTCCCCTTTTACCTTTATAAACTGCTATTTGCCTATGGGTCACATCTGTCTCTCTATCCAGAGGCAGTCCTTTGTTCCTCTGGGACACATATCCCTTTCCCCTCTCCCTTGTCCCTTCCCCCTTTCCCTTTTTTCTTCATTCTCTATCTCCTGTCTTTGTCTCTTATTCCCTGCACTTTGTCCTTCTGGAGCAAATCCCCTTTGTGCTGAGAACTTGGTCTTGGGGTGTAATACCGGTCCCTTCACTCACCCTGAAATCTTTTGCAATAAGGAAGTTGTTTCTGCTGTATCCTCCAACACAGTATGACTAGATGTTCTCTTTAAAAAAATTATGGTGCCAGGTGGTAGTGGTGCATGCCTTTAAGGTAAGTATTCAGGAGTCAGAGGCAGGTGGATCTCTGTGAGTTCGAGGCCAGCCTGGTCTACAGAGCAAGTTCCAGGATAGCTAAGGCTGTTACACAGAAAAACCTTGTCTTGGAAAAAAAAACACAAAACCAACTTTGAGAGATGGCTCAGAGGTTAAGAGCACTGGCTGTTCTTCCAGAGGTCCTGAGTTCCATTCCCAGCACCCACATGGAAGCTCACAACCATCTATAATGAGACCTGGCTCCCTCTTCTGGCCTTCAGGGATACATGCAAAAGAACACTGTATACATAATAAATAAATAAAAATAAATAAATAAATAAATAAATAAATAAATAAATAAATCTTAAAAGGGGTTGCGGATTTAGCTCAGTGGTAGAGTGCTTGCCTAGCAAGTACAAGGCCCTAGATTTGGTTCTCAGCTCTGAAAAAAGAAAAGAAAAGAAAAATGTGTATGGGTGTTCTGCATACATGTATGTATGTGTGGTGTGTGTGTGTGTGTGTGTGTGTGTGTGTGTGTGTATGTATGTATGTATGTGTGCGTGTGTTACCTGTGGAGGCCAGAAGAGGGCACTAGATCCCCTAGACTGCAGTTACAGATGGTTATGAACTGACATGTGGTTCCTGGTAATCAAACTCAGGTCCTTAGAGGAACAACCAGTGCTCTTCATGACTGAGCCATTTTAACAGCCCTAAAGTGTTTCCTCTGATATTGAAATATTCTACCCTCAGGGAACCTCCTTAAGCAGAAAGGTAAACAACTGGACATAGCTTCAGGAAGTCACTGAAACTGACCAGATTCACTAGTCCCCCTCCTTGCCAGAGTAAACAAAAGCTGAGAAAATCCTTCTCAGACTAAAAGAAGCTGAGCTGCAAAGAAGACTCAGATCAAAACAGCTGCCTCAAAGAAGCAGAAACCAGCCAAGGTGTCTGGAACAGGTTTAGATCAATTGAGACACCTAGAAAGGACACTCTCCAACCTGTTGAGCTGCCTGCAGGTTGTGCAGTGTGCTCTAGGTTCTCAGCTTTTGTGAGCTGTCACCCATGCTGGGGTGGCTCATGGTGATGTTTTTATTTCTGTTATGTCTGAGTTATTTCTGAGAGGGCCAGACAAATATCATAACAGGCTGCTCAGTCTTCGCTCAGAGATCAAGCCTCAATTTCAGTTTCCTAAGACTGAGGAAGCAGTTTCTGGGGGAGCCATGAACAAAGGAGAATAAATCTCCAACACACCTGACAGCAAGGACCAGGCCTGAGCCATAGTCAGCAGATAACCAAATAAGGACAAACCCTGGGACTTGTCCAGGCCTGCCCCCAAATGGAAAAGCTGTAACCTTAACCAGCCCTTGCTAGCCTAGCCAAGTAGAACATACTAATATGATTTCCACTTGCTTAAGCCAATCATATCTGAAATGACCTAACTGCTCTAGGAACTCCTCTTGGTTGTGCTTAAAAGGAGCCTGCAAGTTCCTCTTGGAGGTTGATGCCATTTTGCCTTTGTGTAGGATGGTTGACCCCAGCATGCTGGAATTTTTCGAGATAATAAATGCTCTTGTTGATTACATGTGTGGATGGTGGTCTTTTGTGGGACTTCTCCAGGATGCTAATAATTTCTACTCCCTAATAAAACTGGTTCATCAATTGGATTTTGGTGGTGTCTGTCATGGGTTCCCCTATCTAGGGGTGAGCATATATATGTGTTCCATCTCCTCAGGAAAAGTTTTGCCAAACAACACCTGGAAGTTTCTTTTTGCAAACATTCAGAGTGATAAAGCACTGCAGAAGTTCATGCAGGGGCTAGTCTGAAATCCAAGGGTAATAGAGCCTAAGCTTGATCCCTTT